ATTTATTTGGCGTTTTCTCCTGTTCCACAACGGTCCATGTACATTATTGGATCCGAAAAAACTATTTCTTATAATGAAAACGCTGAAGGATTGATGCCTATTGATGAGAGAATACGAAAAATGTTGAAGCAGTACGCGCACAACGGCGGTCGTCAACGTGTTAATGGCGCGGCACCTAGAACAACTGAAAGATGTTTCCGGCTCACAAGAAATGCCAAAAACAAAGAGCGAGAACGGCGATAGCATGTATACTCCATATCTCGAAGTCAGATTAGGCGTGTCTATGGGTTTGACGTGGCAGCCGCCGCACTGATGGAAGTTGCGCGAATAAGCTGCTTCCAGCATGCTGTGCTGTTATCCAACAGGGAATTTACATAAACGGGACAGTTACCCCAGTGACATCAGTTTCAAGACGGTCACATAGAGAGAGCAAGCTTGTAACGCTCTTTTCGCTCACCTCATAAACATGACCGAGACGCAACCTCGGTGCTTGTGGACTAGGTCATCAGAAAGGGGTCCTCCCACACAACTGTGAAATGGTCACCAGAGAAATTTTAGACAGTTTGTTTTTTCTCCTTCTCCTCGCATTAATCCCGGCCGTCGCGCGGAGAGCCATTCTTGTCGGGTGTCGACACTTTCTGCCATCCAAGGCGTCCTCTACGGTGGCCTCGACTTCGGCGAGAGCTTTTTTAATTAATACATTCACGACGACGCCCCTTTTCCACTTTTCGGTCGCGTGGGACGGACGCGATTTTGTGGGCGCCGCCGCCTCACCACATAACCGCAGATTTTGTTTTGTAAATGAACAAAAACATGAATGTCACAAAATAATTTCTGCAATGTCCAATGCGTAAAGATTATCTAAACATATAACAGTAGGATTTCGATCAGAACGACAAATAGTGGTTACAAAAATTGTATCTCAATTGTTCATGATATTCTGGAGTTTCACTATTCTGTGCCTTTGTTCCCTTTTATATTTTGAAAAAAAACCCTTTCTCCTATTATATGGCCCCAGGAGGAGTTGGCGGACCTACTAAGTTGGTATCCGGAGCCGTCCCCCACCAGCGGCTTGCAGTGTTGGCCGCCCACTGCCCTTCGCCTCCTTGTTGGGCTACTGACCCTCCCCCCCCAATGTAGTATTTTTATACGTATAATATACATATACCAGCTACTGTATATTGACGGAATTCTTCTCCCATTTTTTTCCAATTTCTTTCCTATTTAATTGCCCTGTCATATTCCCTATTGTTACTCCGTTTTTATTCATATGCCTACCGACATAACATAACACTGTACAATAGCTATTATAAATAAATAAATAAATAAATAAAAAGAGAGCATTTATTCACTTTCCCCGTGAAGGAATTTAAAAGCATTTTACACTCGATTACGAGGTTTGCCCACCTATCTGTCCATTCCTAGCGCCTGGCAAGCGATTATCAGTTGGCAGCCCATATGGGCTGCCATCGTCCCAGGAGCGCATGTTGTTGGCAGCCCATATGGGCGGCCATCGGCGTGAATGTGTTAATCCTTCTGCAGTTCCCTCGTAGTCACTTCTCGTGCGCTTGTTAATCCATCGCTTCCTTATCGCTTGCCTCATTAGCACGTGTTCATTTTATCGCAGGTACTGTTCCCGCACGTTCGACACCGAGGACAGAAGCATTCTACATGCCTTTTTGGCACCATTGTTTCCCACCGTGTTCAGCCGCAAGCTCTAGAAAAAGGCTGCCTGCTTGATTCCTTTAAACTACCACTCGCCGCCGTAGTGCCGTCCACGATTTGCTGGTGAACTTGGTCTTTACGTTCAACCGAAGCCCACCTCCTGCAGCGCTTTTCGCCATTTCTGCACCTTGCCTGAAGTTCTTCTCTGCTATCCGCTATCAGGCGACGTCGTCAGCGTAGAGGATGGTCTTCAGTGGTCCCTCCATGAGGCCCTTCACCATGACATCTAGTGTAGGAGGAAGAGGAACGGGCTCAGAGCTGACCCTTGGTGCACCCCAACCGTGATGCCTAGTGTTCTTGGTTATTCCGTTAAGCGTGCCTACGGCTGCCTCGGCCCCATCGTACACGTTCTTGACCAGAGTGATCAGGTGTTCCAGGTTGTCCTGTTCCCTCCTATCCTTTTATAGTACTGCTCCCAGACCTTGACATTTTGCCTTCAAACATTGTGATTCACGACGTTCTCATTGATGCAATGATGTTACCTCGTGTCGGCGCTTAAACGCCAGTTTAGGTTCTACCAGTGGTCGGAATGAGCAAGGGAACTGCGGCAGCCTAGCTCTCCCGTGCATGACATATTACAATTATTAGGGCGGAAACCTCTCTAAGTTGAATAGGTACTGCCACCCTCTTTGAATATCTTTGAAGTAAAGTGATGAAACTACACTTCAGAGCCAAAAAAACTTTGCTTATTTTTCGCGTTGGCGATTATCAAGGCTGGCCCTTCTCAAAACTCTTGGGATTTGCTCGGGCCTAAATTGCTTGTGTCAAGTCATAGAACAGATGCTTTACCATTTTTCCCAGAAAAATAAGACCAAGCCCTTCAAGGCGACTTTACTTTTTCACGTTTTTGTAAAATGAGATTTATCGGTACTTATGGCTACATCAATCAGACTCACATTGTTCCCTACCTTGATGGACGAGGTTTGCTCCGAGCTCAAATGTGCGTTCACAAAAGAACACATGAGTAGATAAAGCAGTTTGGGTTTATCAGTCACTTCGTGTGATGCGCCACGCATTCTATAATAATTTCCTTCAGAGTCCTAGTATCATTTTGAAGGTAATGTGACCTAGGCAATAATTGGCAGGGCTTGTCTTCCACTAATCTGTGTTTTGTCATCCTAGACCGGATCCCTTGCTAAGTTCCGTGCCGGAATGGAATGAAGGCCTGGTCGAGATAGGTGAGGGTCGATCCGAGATTGAGTTCGGACCGTGCATGTGTATGAAGCACGTAATGGGCGCCTTTGGTGACACAACGTTCACCATGATCGAAAACTCTGACCAGAACCTGTTTTATTTCCTTGAGTCAACCAGTGGTGCATAGGAGGAGGCTCGCTGGCAAGAGATCACAACGAAAGGGAATGGAAACGAATCGACCATGGAGAGTCTTGGGTTTCCGGAAAATCCCCTCTCCCACGAAGTTCCTCGTGATGGTGTCAACGTAAGCTGACTTGACGAGCTACTTGTTTACAATGCAGGAAATGCGATCACAACATTGACAACAGACTTTCCCATTGCGTGAGATATTAAAAAATGGAAGGCAGCCAGAATGCAATCAGCAGGAGCTGTTAAGTAACCCAATTGTACGTAGAGCTTATCAGAAGGCAAAAGAGAAATTTTTATTGCAAGTGCAAGTACGCTACAGATGACTATGCGAATCCAGTCAAGTGTCACTAAATATATCGGTATTCCAGTGTGGTGACGGTGGCATAGATTCGGTTGTAGGTTATGACTGGGACAATGTTGGACGTTGAAGTAAGAGTCGTGTTCCTGTCATCTTCTGAGCAAAGCCTGGAAGACATTCACGATTAACCTCATGTCCATTCGAAAGCATCCCGGGTTTCTGTTTTTAGGGAACGAACCTGTATCCAGTGAGGCGTTGATCGGGATGAGTTTTGATTTCAACTCCAGCATAAGTGCATCCATCGACGGCAATGCCTTTGGGAAAACTAACAAACTTCACTTGGACTTTCTTACCAGCAGGCGCCTGAGCAGTAACGACTTTCAGCAATGGCATCTGTGCTTCCTATGCAGGAATAGCGCACCTTGATCCAATAGTTACATTTCATGAAATCCTCTCGTGGTGTGACGCCGGCTTGTCGATCACCGAGGTCATCTTTCAGCGTTTGCCATTTATTGGTTGCAACCAGCTCCGCTCCGCATCCATCTGGCTAAATCGAGTCTTTGAAGATTTTAAACGAATTGTAATATATTGAATAATACGGTTCCATACACGAGACTCGATAATTACTGTGAGGCTAAAATCACTGGTACTGTTCACACAAGACAGGAGAGAAACAATCATTATAAAAATCCAGTATGGTAGGATTTGATTCACAGACCATGAGTGTGAATACAACTTTGACATCACTTCACATCTTAATATTGAAAATTATAATCTACGTAACAGAATGACCCACTCTTCTGTCACACAGCGGGCCACCATATCCGCTAGGACAGATGCATTTCTTGCAGTCACGTGGATGAGGGAATCCATAATTCTTACACATCGACGGTCCCTTGCACATATCTAGAAGCCCTTTTTTACGAGCCGCTCGGCTACATGGAATCCGAACGACCCACCTGTGCACTTATAATGTTTGTTGATCATAAGCAGATCGTAGAAGCCAATGAACGGCGAGCCGAGTGTTTCCATGTACTGAATGTCCTTTGGTACCATAGTCGGCTTCTTGTTCATGGAGGAACTGCAAAAAAGTGAGCTATCGTTCCATATGATGCTGTTTCCACCACTATTCTACCATGTGGCTCCGTAGTGCATTAGACTACCATAGTCATAGGTCAGGCCATAATTGTCATTCCTTTCGATCGTCTGAACCGCAAACTGGTCGAGCCAGTCAGACTAAAATTGCAGGCGTTCTGAGAGTCTTCATAGGACTGGCAACACGAAAGGCAAGATTATTACTTCGATATTATTTGTGTCGACCGTTATAAATTGGTCTCGGTCATGCCTTGCATGTGTATGGAAGAATCCAATAGCATGGCCAAGTTCGTGGGCAGCGGTTCCAATCTGAAACGGCGAAAATGGCAGGCATCAACTCACAGCCCCAGTTCAATCGAAAGTGTCCCAAACGCCTTTTCTTATTCTTTCGAAATGTTGCACTAATTGCAGAAATTCGCTTCTCTTCTCGTGTCATCTATGATACATCACCAGCTTGATATATAGCAATTAGCAAATCTTCCAAAGTTCGAATTTTTGCGGAACTTAGTCCTAAGAATGCACTTTTCGTTCCGAATGATTTCGTATTTAGTGGGAGACGTCACTGAGTGTCAGGGTTTTTAGCCCTCACCGTTTCACAGCCTTTGCCAAGTGAAAGGTTCTGTATGCCTCCGAGTCTGCCGACAAACGACCAACATCCGTCCTCCATGTACACACGAATGCTATCCTCTGCTGAAAGCCATCAATATCTGTCGCATCTTCTTTCCCATTCATACATGTTTCCCCTTACCGGATTCGTCTTCTTTGAAATCGATGCAAGTGTCAGCCATCCATTGGGCTGCCGCTTTCTTGAAGACACTTTTTACTTGTGGACCTAAAAAAGGACTAGTTTTGCTCGCTCTTTATCGTATGACCCAAAACATATAAGAAAACTGACTGGCACTTGAATCGAAGAAGTATTTGACACCTTCATGCCATCTCATACCAGGGTACTTGTGGGTCTCGAAGAGCTTGCCTCCTAGCGCGGGTACCGTCGTTGGTGATATCTTCGATAATTTGGTCTTCTTGTTCCCTGAACATGACCTATATCTCTAAAGCCGTAGCAAAAGTCGACAATGTGCTCTGCATTAATCAGTGTCCTTTTTCAGCAAACTTGTATTTTTGTAAGACCGTCGAAGGTATCAAATATCTTGAACTCCTTGGAAATCTTGAGCTCCACAACATTTTATGAACCATCTGTGTGATGGGCCTGGCAAGTTTAGCTGTTATAGCCGGCCTCCTTAGGCATTCGACAATTGTACTTCGTATATGTGTACCTGTTTTAGTACGAAGAGGTAGATAAGATCGCAAGAAAAACGAACTTCGTAAGAACCATATCTCCTTGAAATAGAGCGCCGGCAATATGGTTCTGTAGGTTCACTTCTTCAATCGAGTCTCCCATTGGTTGCACTTTATCAGTAGACCTTCTTTTGACCAACTAAAATATCCACAAAATTATCAGCTACAAACGACAAACTTTTTGAAAATGCGAACCTTCAGTCTTTCTAAAAGCTCCGCTCTTTGCTCCTTGGTCAAGGTGAGCTTCTTCAATATCTTATCTTTGAAGCCACTGAGCCTTTTTTTGAAAGCAGCCATGTTATTGTTGAGGACCTGCAGAAGTTCGTGGATAACAATGCAGTTGTGTATTATGAGCAAGCGATTCTCATTTTACCTCTTTAATGCGGTGTGCAGTATTTTTAATCTTGTCGACCACTCTTTCCTTGATAAGACCTTTGATACTTTCAGCAGAATTTTTCAGGTCGACTAGACCGGCGCTCACGCAAACCGTGAAAAGAAGACTGAGGAGAACGAGTGCTCTCATCCTGAAATGTGAACTGAAAGATCCGGAACGAACATGAGCGTTTCCAAGAAGAAAGCGAACAGTAAGCTGGGGATGCCCCCTCATCGTATTTATACTGCAAGGACTCTGTTGAGGTCGATACGTGTCATTAGATATTTGGACAATTCGCTGTGATTCCAGCTGTTCTTCCGTGCCTCATTACCTCATTAACTGACAGTGGAACGTTGCTCATGTATACTGTGGCGAAAAATTACGTGCACATAACGTTTTGCTCCGCTGGAACATTGAACGAGGATTTTATGCAAACATTTCCTCTTCAGAGCATTTGTTTATGGATATTCATTGGTCTGTAGAAGAAAACGTTTGTCCGCGTTTGAGGAAAGACGTGCTCAAGTTGCAACGCCACTGAGCGCGACCAGCAAAGAGCTGGATAAGAGCGTAACAAGTTTTCGATTCTCGTTCAAATTGAAAAAAAAAATCAGTCGAAAATAAACGCGAGATCTATTGAGAAGATAGTCCAGGAATGCAGTGGGGCGAGTCTAAGCACTTTTTATATCTGTTCAGGAATGCGCGTTCAGCCCATGAACCACTGCAACGTCCACTTCTCATGATCAAAATCGCCTCCTTTCACGAGAGAAGGTAGAAGGCCTTTTAACTCCATGTTCAAATGCTTTAATGCTTGTGACCTCATTGGCCACCTATGAGTCGAATCGTATAACTTCGTGATTGCTGGAAGAACCGCCAAATTCGGTTACATTATACGCTGACACTCCACCACACCATCGACTCGACAAGGCCTTCATTCTTTACAGTCATGTAGGAGTCACGGGATCATGCCGGAGTTCTTTTAAGGTCTCAAGGGATCGGTTTAGTAACCGCTCCAAAGGACACGGCAAAGTCTTCAATGAGAGTCATCTGAGAGCATGGTTATTTCAGCAAAATTTCGCTTGCTTCCTAATTGCATATTGAGGCACGGAAGAACAGCTGGAATCACAACGAATTTGTCCAAATATCTAATGGCACGTATCGACCTCAACAGAGTCCTTGCAGTATAAATACGATGAGGGGGGAGGCATCCCCAGCTTACTGTTCGCTTTCTTCTTGGAAACGCTCATGTTCGTTCCGGATCTTTCAGTTCACATTTCAGGATGAGAGCACTCGTTCTCCTCAGTCTTCTTTTCACGGTTTGCGTGAGCGCCGGTCTAGTCGACCTGAAAAATTCTGCTGAAAGTATCAAAGGTCTTATCAAGGAAAGAGTGGTCGACAAGATTAAAAATACTGCACACCGCATTAAAGAGGTAAAATGAGAATCGCTTGCTCATAATACACAACTGCATTGTTATCCACGAACTTCTGCAGGTCCTCAACAATAAGATGGCTGCTTTCAAAAAAAGGCTCAGTGGCTTCAAAGATAAGATATTGAAGAAGCTCACCTTGACCAAGGAGCAAAGAGCGGAGCTTTTAGAAAGACTGAAGGTTCGCATTTTCAAAAAGTTTGTCGTTTGTAGCTGATAATTTTGTGGATATTTTAGTTGGTCAAAAGAAGGTCTACTGATAAAGTGCAACCAATGGGAGACTCGATTGAAGAAGTGAACCTACAGAACCATATTGCCGGCGCTCTATTTCAAGGAGATATGGTTCTTTCGAAGTTCGTTTTTCTTGCGATCTTATCTACCTCTTCGTACTAAAACAGGTACACATATATGGAGTACAATATGTCGAATGCCTAAGGAGGCGGGCTATAACAGCTCAACTTGCCACGCCCATCACACAGATGGTTCATAAAATGTTGTGGGAGCTCAAGAAGCTTTGCTTGAAAAGGACACTGATTAATGCAGAACACATTGTCGACTTTTGCTACGGCTTTAGAGATATAGGTCATGTTCAGGGAACAAGAAGACCAAATTATCGAAGATATCACCAACGACGGTACCCGCGCTAGGAGGCAAGCTCTTCGAGACCCAAAGTACCCTGGTATGAGATGGCATGAAGGTGTCAAATACTTCTTCGATTCAAGTGCCAGTCAGTTTTCATATGTTTTGGTTGAGTATATGATAAAGAGCGAGCAAAACTAGTCCTTTTTTAGGTCCACAAGTAAAAAGTGTCTTCAAGAAAGCGGCAGCCCAATGGATGGCTGACACTTGCATCGATTTCAAAGAAGACGAATCCGGTAAGGGGAAACATGTATGAATGGGAAAGAAGATGCGACAGGCGATATTGATGGCTTTTAGCAGAGGATAGCATTCGTGTGTATGTGGAGGACGGATGTTGGTCATTTGTCG